TAGTTGATTCTAAATACTCATAGTTAAGAGCGAAAGATGTTAATATTGTTATCCTGAGAAACACAATGTTGATTCAACTAACTGGGATATTGTAAATTGTGATTATTATGCCTATATTTTACTTCTTTTTTAGCTTGTAATCTGTATTTTTTGCTCTTAATAGCTTGTTTAGATTATCTCATTTAGCTAGTAATCAGATTTACTTTATGGGTTATTCTCGTTTAGATCATTATGCCTTCACCTTCTTGGTTAGCTTGTAATCTGATTATTATGTTGATTCACCTGTGTGTAATTTTGTTTGCTCTAATTTTTTTATTTTTGTTCACAGATCATTTCTTATGGATGAAATTACTCCACAATCATCTACTCAAGCTGATTCTAACAATAACATCCAAGTTACTTATGACATTCAGGGTGTGGGACAAGATACAAAAAAATGATCTAGATTTTGGGAGCATTTTGAAAATATTGAAGCTGCCAATGAAGCTAAATGTCAGCATTGTAGTAAGATTTACAATTATCATCCAATAAAAACAGGTACTTCATCCTTGTTTTATCATTTAGATCATTGTAAATCATATTTGGCAAGTGTGAATAAGAAAGACACATCTCAATTAAAGTTAATTGGTGCATTCAAAAAAGATAGAGATGGTGTTAGTAGTAACCTTAGTGTTGCTAAATTCAATGAAAAGAAAATTAGGAAGGCAATTGCTACTATGATTATAATGGATGAATTGTAGTTCTGATTTGTTAAAGAAGGATTTAGAGACTTGATGAGGACTGTTGAACCTAGATTTCGTATACCTTTCTGTACCACTGGGATGAGTGATTGTTTGCAATTACATTTGATGGAGAAAGAAAAATTGAAGCATATGTTTGTCTCATCTAGTCAAAGGGTTTGCCTTACTACTGATACCTGGACGTCTATTCAAAATCTAACTTATATGTCCTTAATTACACATTTCATTGATAAAGATTGGAAGTTACACAAACGAATAATCAATTTTTTGAAAGTTCCTAATCATAAGGGTGTGACAATTGAAAGGGAAATTGAAGCATGCATGCTTGAGTGGGGGATAGATAACATATTTATTGTTACAGTGGATAATGCAATTTCTAATTATGGTGCTCTTGATTATTTAAAGAGACGAACTAAGGATGGGAAGAACACTATCTTAGAAAATGAATTTATGCATGTTAGGTGTTGTGCACACAATTTGAATCTAATTGTCATAGAGGGTTTAAAGGAAGTGAAAACGTCAATTTTGAAGGTACGAAATGCTGTTAAATATGTTAAGTCTTCTCCTTCAAGGCTTGACAAGTTTAAGTCATGTGTTGAGAGGCAAAAAATTAGTGAAAAGGGTCTTCTTTGCCTTGATGTTCCAACATGATGAAACTCTACATATTTGATGCTCAAAGTTATTGAATAGTACCAGGGTGCATTTGATTTGTTGCACGAAGATGATGGGCAATTTGTAAGTCAATTGAGTGAGGGGGATGATTTAGGGCCACCTACATTTGATGATTAGGACATTGTTTGTGTGTTTATGGAGTTTTTAAAACTTTTCTATGAAGTCACGTTACGCATTTTTGGATCATTGTATACAACATCAAACTTGTTTTTTTCAAGAACTTTCGACTGTGTATGATCATTTGTCAGGTTATTGTGAAAATGATGATTATCTTTTGAGTACCATGACTATGAGAATAAAAAGTAAGTATGATAAGTATTGGGGTCAGTTAGATAATATTAGTTTGATGTTGTTTGCTGCTATTGTCCTTGACCCACACTATAAATTGGATGCTTTAGAATTTTGGCTCAATTACAATTATAAGGCTGAGGATGAAGTAGTTAAGGTTTAACTAGTCGAAAAGATCAAAAAGATCATTGACCGGTTATGCCAACGGTACACTAGATTTAGTGGGGGTTGTGGAATGAGGTCAAGAGTTGACCATAAGAAAAATGTGTCTTCGGTTGAGATGTTTGTTCAAGATCAAGTACCTACAAATTTTATGAATAGGTACCGTAAGTATAGGGTTGAGCGAGGTAATGTTGACAACAAATCAGAGTTGGATCGATATTTGACAGAGGATGTTGAATTTGTTAGTTTCAATTTTGATATTTTGAATTGGTAGAAGGTTAATTCTTTTCAATCCTTGCCAAAATAGCTCGTGATCTGTTAGCAATGCCCATTTCTACGGTGGCATCAAAATCAACTTTTAGCACTGGAGATCATATTTTAGATCCTTTTCGGAGTTCACTGGGTCCCAAAACAGCTGAGGGTCTCATATGTGCACAAAATTGGCTTCGATCGTCATTCATTGCTTATGGCTTTGAAGATGTTTTGCAGGATTTAGAAAGCTATAAATTATATTCAGGTTTTTATACTTTTATTGTTATTTTTTTATTATTTGTTGATGAGTTCTTCGTATCTAATTTTTTTCATACTCTTTTTTATCTCAGAAATAACTACAGAGAAAATTGCAATTGCTCTTGAGTGAAGAGAGGTGAATGACACAAGCAAGAAATGTGCTATTTAATTTTTTTATATTTTTTTAGTAATTATACAATTATTTGTGTGGTATAATTTATATTATAACATTATTATTGTTGTGGATGTTTGAGTTGCTAAAACATGAACTTGTTTTTTATGTAGGTTACATGATTTGTGGTGAACTGGTGATCTATTGGAGCAATTATGATTTTAATGTATTTTATATGGTTTAAACTTAAAATAATTATTATTGTATTTATGTAACAATTATGATGGATTGATGTTCATACTTTCTTGTGTTTTATTGTAATTGTTATTGTAGTTGTTTTAAATTTTAGTGTTTTTGATTTATTTTGTTAAATTAGTACACGTTATTTAATTGAATTGTTAAAATGATCTAAAAATTAATAACTATAAAAGTGTTTACCCGACTTTTTACCTGATTAATCGGGTAGGAAGTCGGGTAAACACTTTTGTAGCAATTAATTTTTGGTAATCGGGTAGAAAATCGGATAGGAATACCACTCCTGATCGGGTAGAATATGCCAAAAAAAAAATTCTTCCGCAAAGTATCGGGTAGGAAAATAGAAGATTATATTTCCTACCCGTAAGGTAAGGTGAGCACTCCTAATTTTGATACTTATTTGTATCCAAGTACATTAATTAAAATTTCCAAATTTTGTTATAACCTTTATGTCATCTCTTGATCCTTGCGTATTTTTTTTTTTGGAAAGTGATTCTTTTTTCAAATTACATTTATGCATTAAACATCTCATAATTTTATGGGATTACTTTAATATTCCATTTATATATGCATTAAACATCTCATAGTTTTAGGATATATCATTTTGTTTGAATTTCAAATTTGAAACCTTGTCTTTGTGGAGTTAATTGTAAAAAACTATACAGAAAAAAATATAGAGGAAATAAGTCCTTAATTTTAGTTCTTATTTTTGTTCAAGTACATAATTTGAAATTTTCAAATTTTTCTTTGACATTTGTGCTCCCTTAATTCATGCGATTTATTTTTGGAAACTAATTTTTTTTTCATATTATATGTATGCATTAAAAATCTTCTAATTTAATGGAAGATTTGATCCTTCCATTTTTTTTAGGATAAATGTATGCATTAAAAATCTTCTAATTTAATTAAAGATTTGATTCTTTGATTCTTCCTAAATTAATGGAAGATTTGATTCTTCCATTTATTGTGAGGATAAATCAGTTAATTTGAATTTTAAATTTTGTAACAACATCTTTTGTTATTTTAAAAGTGATTATTCTGTTTTTTAATATGCGAACAGCATATCAATGTAACAATAGGAATATAATAAGACATACAAAATATTGTACTATTACATTTTGTTAAACATATATTTGCATATAATTTCATTCAAACAATTCATCTCTATTTTGAATTTGTTACCACATCTACAAAATCACTTAATATTGTCTTTGTTACAGTGTATTGTTACACTGTATTTGTTATAGTGTATTGTTATACTGTTTTTGTTACACTGTGAGAGAAACACAGTCAACAATTAGGAGATACACACATTTTGTTCACACACAATGAATTAATATGGCATAAACACATGGCAAAAACATCGTATTTTACACAAGCCAAGGATCAACTTTCAACAATTGGTTTTGGTCTTCAAATACCGAAGTTTGTATGTATCTTCAAATGTAGAACAAATCTTCAAAAAATAGATATTGTTGACGATCTTACATCAAATGGGTTGAACAATATGATTTTTCCTTCAAAAAACGAAACCCTATAGATGTTCAGGAAACAAAATATTTATGCCAAAAAAAACACCAAAATCAAAATAAATTTAATAATATTTTGATTTTGGATAATCCATGATGTCAATAGAAAAAAAAAGTACATGGAATGACGAAGTTCAACGATCACCTTATTAAACGTAGGTCAACGAGCAACAATCAACGCATGTTTCAGGTTTATAATTGCCGAAGTTTGAAAGTTTCTTCAAATCGCGAACAAAACTTTCATCATTCTTGAGTTTGTGCCAATCAAACTCCAAATCATCTATCAATCGATGTACATTTCACAATCAAAACCCTCTCCTTGTTTATGAAAGATAGAGAGTTGGAAAGTTTCTCCGAAGAAGATGAACTGATTTTTTGTGAGAAAGGAGAACACAGAACGATTACCGAAGATAAAGAGATTTTAAAATAAATGTACCTAAATTTTAGCAGTTAAGATAAATGCATTGTTGCAGTTTTTATGAAAGAAAAGTTTACAAAATGAGTATTTACGTCTTTGTATCTCAATAGTGTATTTTTTTTAAAAAAATAACTTTTTTATATTTCTTTTTACAATTATATCTAATTTAGTGAACTGACTTTAAAAGAAACTTAAAAGATATAAAAGGTATGATTATAATAGAAGTGGTGAGGGGATGGATCAATGAATTGGGCCAGTTGGATTTGACAGAGAATCATAATATGCCATAAACTATCAACTACTATGGCAACTGGATGGATGTGTGACTTTTTTTTTTTTTTTTTTTTTGGGGGGGGGGGGGGGGGGGGTTGGTT